CCGTAAAAAATAAATTAACCAAAATACCCCCAAAACTTTTCGGGGGTATTTTGATCAAATTTTTTCATGTAAAATATTTTTTTATAATTTTAAAATATTCCCCTATTTTTGATGAATACACGTTTCAAATTTTAGATCATTCTGATTTGTATAAAACAAATAAAAAATGAAATACTACCGGACAATCGTGATCATACGATGAACTTTGGACGGTGATGGGGTAGGCAAAATCACTATTCATTTTCACCTATAGGCATTGCGTAGTGTTTTCCTATATATATAACCTGACAAAAGAACAACAACTCCCTTGCCGCTTTATGGTGAAGAATGTGATGTGCACAATTGAAAGGAAAAAAAAGAAAATTGACTGAATGAATTTGTTTATTCTACACAACAAAGCTTAATTATTTTAGTTTGTTTTGGTCATGCTTGCACAATAAACTCTAAGAATAACATCAAATTTAACCAAAACATGGGTGCTACAATGAAAGCCCCCACAATACTTCTTGCTAAAACACTAAAACACACTATCATTGGAAAAAAAGAATTTGACAATTTTATTCAAAATTGTACTTGAGTGGATAGCACTGTAACGATAACCAAAGTTTCAACGTAGTTAATAAGACATTAGGAGACATGATTATGAGCAGAGTATCACACTTTTCATACAACAAATTTATCAACTATCAAATGAGAATAACGAGTGCTTCTACTCTTCCATTATATAAAAATGAAAAAACTATCAGAAAAAAAAAACTCTCATGTAGAATACCATTAGGGTATATTGTAGAAAACGAATGCTTAAAATCCAAATTCTCAAACTTGCAGCCTCTTTTTTGGAGAGATGAGAGAGGAAGTGAAGGGTAAGTTTGAATTGGGGCGTTCGAGCTACATTTTGACAGTGGTTGGAGGAGTAATTTCATGGCAGTTTTGCTTTATGGCAACCACTGGACTTATATTTCTCACTACTTCTCTTATGTGTGGGATTTGCATGAGTGCTCCGCTGTCCCTGATTTTGGTGATCGGTGCAGTGATTTTCAAAGATGATTTTAGTGGGGAGAAGTGGATTTCTACTATTCTATGTATGTAGGGTTTCTTCTCTTATTTGCATGGAGAGAGAAGGAAAAATCAAGGTTGTGGGGTTGAAGAGAGAGAATGGGGAGAGAGACAGGGGAAGATCAATAGAGTTACATGCTATTAGGGGGCTCTGAATCTATTCAACTTCTCCAAAAACAATTGAAATTTAATGCCTAAAACACTAATAACAATAATAAATCAAACTACTTGAGGAACCATATTACAGAAATCATAAAACCTATTAAACATTTTATATAACTCAACAAACCTGTTATAGAGACAGACAATAACAGAAGGATTACAGAGAGAGTGCATCTCTCAAAGATGGGAAATGTTATAGAGAGAGGCCTTATGCATATGATCATTATTATCAGGGCCACAATATGGATCGGTTAATGGGTTGTCTCTGAACATTAAATGGATAAAACAGAGGCATAACAACCCAGAGTTACTACACTACCAAGAAGCCATGAATCAATGAGGTCTCTAATCAAAACCACATATTGAACCAGTGTGTCTCTTTCTTTGATTTTTTATAAGATTTTACTCCTCTGGTTTGATTGAATTTATGGGCTACAAATGGGGAGAGAATTAGGGGAAAAAAAAAAGACAGAACATTAGATTGTGGGAAAGAGAGGCATGAGCGTATGGCATTTGGGATGAGAAAGATAGAGAGAAAGAGGGCGCGGCATGTGGGATGAGGAAGAGAGAGTGCAGGAAAAAGACCATACCAAGAGAGTGAGAGATTTGACCTAAAACAACCGAGGAGGAAGAGTACCTGTGGTCCTGGCGTGAGAGATAGAGGATGCGGGGAGGGCTTTTCTCTAAAGTAGAGAGAGAGGCCAGTGTTTGTGAGGATCAATGTAATGCTCTGAAGTAGAGAGAGAGAGGCCTGTGTCTGTGGTCTTGGCGTTAGAGAGAGAGAATGCTAGGGAGACCTTTGCTCTGAAGTAGAGAGAGGTCTGCGTCTGTGAAGAGGGAGCTTTGCTTTAAAGTAGAGAGAGAGAGGCTTGTGCTTTCTAGTAGAGAGAGAAAGGCATGTGTTTTTCAGTATAGAGAGAGAGGCATGAGTCCAGTAGAGAGAGTGAGGCCTGCATTTTCCAGTAGAGAGAGAGGCCTGTGGTTTCTACTAGAGAGAGAGAGGCCTGCATTTTCCAGTAGAGAGAGAGGCCTACAATTTCCAATAGCCTGTGGATGTCAGGGCCTGTGTTTTCCAATAGTCTGCGAATGTCAGGTTAATGTCGAGCGTTGGGTACAGGCACCACATCAAAATAGGCAGGACTTATCCCTGCCGTTGCGCGCACAATAAAGCCGTATACGAAGGGGCGTTTAGGATCATTTTAACTATTTTATAAAGCCGTATACGAAGGGGCGTTTAGGATCATTTTAACTATTTTTGGAGTTTAAAATTTTATAATTAGATATAAAAATAAATTTCGAGATAATCTTAAGAAATATTTACACCCAAATTACAT